TTGTGTCCTTGGACCAATGTGTTTCTCCATCAAGTCTACTTTACAGGGTTGTTTTTGGAATAAAGTGGAGAAAGAGGAATCCTGTAAAGCATCTCTGTACCTTGTTGATGTAAACAATAAAGAAATATTGATCTTTTGCCACTCATAGGGGTTTCTGGTGATCTTATCATTAGATGATTATTGTTTTTGCCATAATTTTGCACAGATGGGGAAAAAACACCTCCTACAGATCCCTGACAATGCTACAGGAATCTTGTGTGAGTCATTGTCATTTAATTTGAAGGGGAGAAATTCAGAGGAAAATGAGGATCATCTGCAGAAATCAGAGGAAAGATCAAGATGTGATGTCTTTCAGAGATAAAGATGAAGTATTTTATTCTAACTGTGCTGGCTGGATAACTCAGTGAGTTAGGTATCTGGCTGTCAAACTAGAGGTTGGGAAATCAATTCCCTACTGTGCATCCCAGAAGAAGCTTGTGTAGCCTTGGGTAATCTGCACAGCCCCAGGATGCCCTAGAAGAAGGGAATGATAAAACACTTCTGAGTACTGTCTGTCTATGAAAACCTGAAAAAAGTCACCATAAGTCAGAATTTATTTGACAACATATTATTATTATTTATGATCAGAAACCATTCTAGCTTAACTTTTTAAAAGTTGCATCTACAAAACAGGAAAAAATGCTAATTAATCTGCCGTGAAGTTGCACCCAGGAAGTCAGTTTCCCTGGGTTAATTCATTTCAGCCCACTGCACAGGAGTCAGCAGAGAGAAGGGAGGAAATTAGCATTCAAAACCCTTGTTTGCAACTTGTTAAGGTAGCTCTCTCTGTTATGGCTGTCCAAATTTACAGGAGGCATGGTTAGAGCAGAACTAGTCTAACAAGCTGGAAACAAGGCTTTTGAGTGCTGATTTCCTTCCCTTTCTCTGCCATTTCCTCACTCTTTAAGGGTTTTTTGTTTGTTTGTTTTTTGTTTTCGGGTTGCTTACCTGTTCTATCCCTAGGTTAGCAGGTCTTTAAAAGAAATAAGAAAAAGAAAAATAGGAACAGAATAGGAAGGAAAACAGACTCTGGTACCAGGAGAAAAGGATTCGAATAGCAGCCCATTTCCTTGCAGCATTGCTTCTCTCATTGCTGCTGGAATGGCTTCAGATACAATAGCTACAAAGCCCTCCACATTGGTTCAAGTAATCACTTTGCCTGAAGTGATTGAAATGCATTTGATTCCAAAAAAGTAGAAGTTCAGTAGAGGAGAAAAAAATATGGATGCAGGGGGAACTCTGGGATGTTTCGCAGTAACCTGTACATCGTGTTTGTGAATTCTGTGCTGTCAAGTTGGAACTGACTTATAGCAATCCTAATAGCGCTTTCAAGGTGAGTGAGATAGTCAAGGAGTGGTTTTAGCAGTTCCACTCCCCAGTGAGTTTCCATGGTCAAGTGGGGATTTGAACCTCGTTCTCCAGAATCCTAGTCCATCATTCTATCCACTACACCACATTGAGAATTCACTGTACATTATGTAATCAACAGAAAATGAAACAGTACAGACCATCTTAATTCCCCGAGCACTTCTCACATTATTTGTCAATGTAGTTGCACTCTTAGTCATACAGTAGGACCCTCCCATAAAAGTGGAATCAGCGTCCACAGTTTCAGTTATCCATGGTTTACCACAGCCTGATATATTACGTAGAAGGGAATGAACCTTGTGGCCTTTGTCTTGCCTCCTTGTATGTTGTATATAGGTTCTCTACTATCTGTGGTTTCAGGCATTCATGGTAGATTGTAGATCACCCATGGATATGGAAGTCCTACTGTATTTGACTTATGGCCACTATATATATGTACATATCACTGTATATATATAAAGACAACCATGTCCAAACTCTTTTATGAATCTCAAAGCAAATGCCAATCCAATGAAATGTGATACCTCACATCTACTTCTACTTCTTTTCAAAATATATCCTTTTAAAGTCCCCATCCTTATTAGTTGCTGTTCTGTTTCACTGCTATGGGGTACATTATAGTAGGAAAAGAGATTCATGGTATAGCTCAGATAATTTATTTTTTGGACTTCACTATCTTGTTTCCTCATCCAGAATAATCACTGGCTATGCTGATGCACATAACACTGATGCACATGACTTCCTTGTTTTCTATCCATACAGTTATGCAAAGAGATTTTAACAGAACTGTCAGCATAGAAAGCAATGAGAACTCACTTGGTGTATACACAGTTGTAATATTTACTTATTGTTTTTTAGTGTCTTATTTGATCCATTGATTGTAAGAAAGATCTCTCGGTCTTTACTGTACATATTTATGAGATCCTCTCAAGTTATGGATGACTTCTGTTACTGCCTAATTACACAGAAAGTTATATTTCTGGCAGTTATTACCCAAAACGCTGACTGCATTTTGCCTTATACCTATTATTCAGCTGATAGTTTTTATCAGCACCGGATAGCATGCCTAAAATCCTGGCAAAATCTGGCCAAAGAAGTAGTATGAAAACCTTGTCTTCTAAATCGGCCTGCAAGCTTATTTCATGTGCTTCAAAACACAATCCTGCAGATTGCAATTGATCAGAACTACAGAAAATTGTCAGAAAAAGTTTTGTAATTTTACTGTTGCAGACTATTCGTCATCTGTCTAATATGAATGGGTGCAATTCAGTTTATACTTTTAAAAAATGCACATCTTTGCATGGAGAAGAGTAGAAAAAAGACTGTTTCAGGCTTCCTAGTCTGTTCTTTACCTGCTTTGACCTGTGTTGACCATCCTTTGACTTTAGATTGCTAATCTCAGGGTTGCTACTGTCATTTCTTTTCTTTCACACCTTTCTCTTCAACCTCCAAAGAGGAAACAGCTTGCCGTGGTTATCCATGCCTCCTGATGTCTCCAATTTAGTTAGGCAGAACAAGCACTTCTGTCACCTCTTGTTATTATGAAAGTCTGGAAAAGTATAAAGGATCATAAGTAAACAGATTCACTCATCCCAAAGTTATCGCTTTTAAAAGGTATAAAGCAGTGTGGGCTGTGGTGGTTTTGGAATGCAATCAACTGGTTCCTCAATAGGGGTAAGGGTTTTGGAGTAATGTTTTCACTGGGACTATCATATTCCTCACTATTTGGCTATGTTGACTCTGTTTTCTAGTTGTTGATATCCCAAATGTGTGGAGGGAAAAGATTCCCCACTGATTGTAGACTGCAGAGAAATAAACACATACAGTGGTGCCTCGTTAGACATTGTTAATTTCTTCCAGCGAAATTGCTGTAGAGCGAAAACATTGTCAAGCAAAATAAAAAACCCCACTGAAACGCATTGAAAACCAGTTCAATGCGTTCCAATGGGCTGAATACCTGCTCGTCCAGTGAGGATCCTCCATACAGCGGCCATTTTCGGTGCCTGTATAGCGAGGAATCTGTCCTAGAAAACAGCGGGGGGGGGCATTTTGTAAGCCAGCGACCATTTTGAAACCCGACGATCAGCTGTTTGCTGATCGTTGTAAAGCAAAAAATCGGTTCCCGAAACAGGGACCCGATCGACGTGAAGCGAAAAAACCCAATCTAAACATCGTTTTGCGATCACAAAAACTTCAACATGAAGCGGATTTGTCATTAAACGGGGTAATCATCCCGCGGGGCATGACAGTAGTTTGAAACAGTGTATGAGGCTGTCTGCACTGGCATATAGATCAGTATAGGAATTGCTATTGGCACAGTTTGATTTGAACCAAGTGACAGTGCCCACATGTGTTTCCACTTAGATTGATCCATCCTGCCTCTTTAAGAGCTGCTGTGCACATTTCTGGAACAATGGTAGAGTATGTACTCTTTTTCATACGATTCAGTACAGTACAATCCTGATACACATATTGTGTAGCCTGTGTAGACAGTTAGCTTGCTCCCAAATGTAATTGTGGGCAAGTGTTAACGGAGGAGACAACTCTATAAAACCCTAAGATGCAATGTGTTAAAATCAACTCAACAGCAGAGGATATCTTGTGTAAAATCTTTCCTTGAGTAAGATGGTGTGGGAATTGTTTTGACTGCAAGGTTCTCTTAATTTTGCTTTATGTGAACTGGTTACTTTGTAGGAGAACTATTTCAGGTTTTGTAGTCAGTTTTCTGGCCAAGTCTCTGGTCTTTGAACTTTATCACTTTGCCTTCTTAAAAGCAGCACTGGAGCATAGTCCTTAAAACATAGTTTTAAAGGGCAGTCTTGTATTTCAGCCCCCAATCCTTTGCCTTGTATTGAGGTTCTTAGGCAATTACTTTTCTTTTAGCTATAGCAAGTTATCTTTTGAGACAGGTATTTTGAGAATGATAATCTACAGAACCTCTTTAGGAGATCCCAGGAATGTATTTTGAAAAGCACTGATGGGACATCTCCTAGAATTGTGAATTACAATGTGCCTAAAAGAAATTCTTATTTATCAAAATAAGTAAGCTGAGATGAATATATGGGAACTATTTAATATAAATACTTCCATCACCTCTGTATCCCACCCTTTTCGCCTGTTCATTGCTGTTAGTTTCTCACTAGCGTGTTGGGGAACGGGCTTTGAGGGAGAAGGATGTTATAATTGCTCTACATAGGATGTAAATGAGTAAAGCTGAAAGGAATAAAAAGATCACACCGTTCAAGTAGTGTGATCTTTGACAATCGAAGGTGTATGAAACTTCTGGATCTCGCGTATCTTTTTGCGGGCTCATGGGAGAGTCCGGGTGCAACATGGCCTGCTGGGATTTGTCCTTCTCAATGGCGCCAGACCTTTAATTGCTTCTACACAGCCCAAACGCCTATTCTTTGCCACCTAAAGCGACTATTTTCTGTCTCTTGAATCTCTGCTCTTCAGCACCTCGTTTGCTTTCTCTTCGGAGTGGAAACAGCAAACCAAAGGCAAGAAAGAGAAGAAGCACCCAGTCTCCTTCAGAGAAAAACACAGGGGGGAGGGGGCGCTTGCTCGCGTTTGAACAGAGTGGGCGGGGCCCTCAGCGGGCGCGTTCCCGTATGTAAATGAACGGGCGTGAGGTCAGAGGCAGTTGGAAAAGGGAACAGACAGAATGGCCGCCGCGGCTCCCGCTCTTGGCGCTTCGCAGTGCCGGAGTCCCCGCTGCACGGCGGAGCGGAGGGGAGTCCGCCGTGAACTCGACTCTTGGCGGCATCGACTCATGCACTGCGTGGGTAAGAACGACACCAGAAAGAAGCGGAGCTTCGGAAGCGAAGGGGGGGGGGAAGGGTTTGAGGGGGCAAAGCAGAGCGGCTCGACCGTTGTAGTCGTCGTCCTAGGCGGAGACAAGTGTAGGCTAGCTTCTCCCTCAAGGAAAGGCGTGCCTGGCCGGAGGGGGGGGGATGAGCACGCGGCCACCTATAGATGTAATCTCTGTGGCCACAACTACGTAGAAGAAGGGGGTGATTCTTCTCCCCTTTTGTCCGGGATTCCTTCTGGAGTGTGCGTGCCGGGATCTGTCCGAGTGTGCCCGCCCCTTTAAGAGGGGAAGCCACTCGTGCGTTGACGGTTGGGATTTGAAGTTGTCCCCTCCCTCACGCTGGCCTGCGCCGATTCCCCCTCTCTCCCCGTTGTCATAACAACAGGGACTTTTCGCTCCTTCCTTATTCCCCCCCAGCGCTTCCCACCGACCCCCTAAGTCGTCCTGTGCCTAGTGCTGCTGCTTTGGCTGAGCTGTGGGTGATCCCACCCCCTCACCCCCGTTTTGTTTCCTAACCTCCGCTCACCACTGTTCTTAATGTGCAAAACTTTTTTGACAGATTTGCTGGGAACAAAATCAGTTTTATCTGTGCTTACTGATAAGTGAGCAAAACGTATTCGTTTACATTACGAGTGACTGCTGTGCCTGCATGGGTGAGGTTTTCCCCCAAACATTCTGTAGAATTTGCAGCTAGGTCTCTTATAGAATAGGTGGTCTCCTATGGTAAGTTGGTGGTGACAGGATTGAAATTTTGTAGTATTAGCCAGAATGTTACTACCAGATTTTCACCATTTCCAGAGATGCAACAGAGGACAACTGACTACAGATAGATTTTACTCACAAAGTCAACTCATGTTCTCTAATTTGTAAGCCTTGGAGTAATGGTTGAGAATTCTTTTTAATAATGGTTGAGAGTTCTTTTAAGTGACTCCCAGAGTAGTTTACAGATTTCAAAATTATGATAATCCCTCCCTGCCCATAGGCTTCCACTTTGAAAGATATGGGACGTAATGGAAAAAGAGATATGAGATGAATGAGATGGGAGAGTGTGCTTATAATACTACTTCTGTGGGACTATTTTGTTACTTGATTTTGCCCCATGTTAAAGTTTGTAAAAACTGGAAAGTGGAAATAATGGTTCTAGTAGGGTATTAACTTGGGTTGGCTCTTTTTCTACCCAGGCCTACCATTTGTTAGACTGGCCTAAGTGTACTCATTTCCTGGAATTGCTCTTATTCTGTTGGTAAAGACAGTTAACAATTACTTTTGCTTGCAAATACTAATTCCTCAGGTTTAGATAGGATAATGGGGATTTAATACTCCATTCTGGGGTTGATGGCATCAGTTTGCTTAGGAACGTATGGAACAAAGTCAGGCACACCTTTAGAAGACGGACGTTGAACTAGTTTTGGATAGTGTTGTTTTGAAAAGTGGTTGCTTTGAATCTAATTGAATGTTCAATAGAGGCAACATGAACTTTAAAGTCATTCATACAAAGTGTGAGGTTTAAGCAGTAAGTGTTGAATTATTAAAAATTTAGTCCGATATGTTCCTTTTTAGTAATCCAAAAATGAAATTTGAAGTTCATATTAAGCTTACTGTCTTGCAATTGTCCTATGAATATCAGAATAAATTCCTTTATCCTTTTAATCACATTTATATCTTGCCTTTCAACCAGAAAAGACTCTCAAGGGGACTAAATACTAAAACACTAAATTAAAAATGGAAAAAAAATCAATTAAAAAGTACAATTTAAAAATCAGTAGTTTTTTTACTTCTGTTTTTTGTGGGCAAGGATAAAAGATGCTTTAGAAAGATGCTGCCAAGTGAATTATATTTAGTCTTACTAATCTGGGACTGAGGGTAGAGAATTGAGAACCTTTATTTGGGGGGATTTCAGTCAAATTAATTATTGTCATTGGAATGTTCTCCATTGTCAGGGTGGAATATCATATATGACCAAGAACATCATGTTCTACTCCCCGTTATTGTTCACATCACATTGCATTTATCATTTACTGGTTTTATAGTGGAGGATGAGTGCTAGTTCTCTTCATAACAGTAGTGAACGCTAAAGTCATAGGTTTCTGAGTTAGGTCCCATTCTGACCTGTTTGCAGTTACTGAGCAAAACACCAAATCTAACATGATTATTCCTTTCCCCCTGAAAAGTGTCATACCCTGACTAGTTTACAAGTGGCTTAGGTGGTTGAGAAGTAATATTTATTTCTGCTTATAGTATTTTTGATACCTCTTGAATACTGAGATGTAAGTAGATCATATGAGTATACAAATCTCATCAATTAAATTCTGGAACCATAATTTCAATATTTTTGTCTTTAGGAAAATGCTTCTACCTCATCCTGTTTTCCAGGGAAAACTTTCATGTTGATAGAAGACTTTATCTGGGATACCTGTGAAGTCTGATGGAAAATTCATGGCATTTGACAGCAAATGCTGTACATGGAACATTTATAGAAGCAACAACTGAACAGGGCTTCTGTGGTTTTGGAAGCCCAATGCTTCTTGAAATTTCAGTAATCTTTAATGCAAGATTGTACTTCAGATCTTTCTGTCGACTATTGGTGTTTGCAGCTGAAGATGCAAGCAGAACAGTTCCCTCAGTGAACAATAGTCCATGTCGACCATTCTTCCCTGTTTGTAGATGAAGAATAGTTTACTTGTTTGTTGTTTCATCTTTCTGGATGATGAGACTGTCAGCAAGGCAAGTGAAGAATTTCTTGCATAGATATGAGGGTAGCTGAAGTCTGATTTCAACTACATCTCTCCTCTTTGAAAGTTTGGTAATCTGAATTAGAGTATCACCCAAATCTTCAATATAGATAGGAGGTCTGTAACTGACCTGCAACCTCATTGTTTTGCTCTTTGCTTCATTCTAAATTACATCAACCAGGATTCTTGCTTCAGCTCATGGATCTCATTCTCTTACCCCTTTTTGTTTAATCTGTTCCTTTTGGGTAGTTATAGCCTTCTATTACTGCATTCCAGTTATGAGTCTTCTATCTGTGTGAAGAACTAAAGCTCATCTTGTTTGCTTCCCACACTCTGTGCATTGGTATGGAGAGATCTGAAGTCGGAGATTATTCCTTCTACCTGCCTCATTGTCTTTTCCCATATGCTGGTGGATTTCTCTTCTGCCCTCCTGATTTTTGGTAGATCTCCAAGTAATCAGTAATGAGCATCCCCCCCCTTTTTTTTGGAATATAATCTGTTTCTACTGCAAGATTCAGGTTTTGAAGTTCTTACTTAAAACAGATTTTCCCAATCTTTGTACGGTGTAATCCATCACCTGCTAATAGTCCTCATACATGGAAGTGCAGAGCATGGCACTGGAAGCCAAACATTTCCCAACTATTCTCTCTGCATCTCCAGTTGTTCACTTTCAGTATTCTTATTTTTCTTCCTGGTTGACCCCCAAACCTTGGTAGGAAGGGATGGTAAAAAAAAAGTTAGCCTGGAAAGGGCTCTTTGATCTCCGTTTCCCTGCTTTTGAAGCTCTTTCCGATGTCCCTTTTTGCTCATTTAAAAGTGTCTTACAATGTTTGGAACCTGTTTTAAATGCTTGGATTCGGTAGTCCACCTTGTGAAACCTGTGCACACTTAGTTTGGTTTTGTTCTGAGTCTTCAATTTTTGGTGATTTTTTGTTTTCTCCATTGAAAACCATTGATGGCTTTCAATGGGGAATAAAAAAATTCACCAAAAATTAACAAAGACTCAGAACAACACCAAATTAAGTTTGCATAGGTTTCAGGAGGTGGGCTAACGATTGCAAGCATTTAAAACAGGTTTCAAACAGTTTAAGACACTTTTACAGGAGCGAAAACAGTCATCGTTGAGTGAAAATCTCCCATAGAGAACATCGTTAAATGATGCGGAAAATTCCTAAAAGAAACCCATCGGTAAGTGAATTCTTCGTTAAGTGAGGCAATCGTTAAGCGAGGCACCACTGTATCTGATTTTTATTTCCAGTGGCAAAAAGGATTTGATTTGTTTTGATTTTGCATCTTCTTGGTTCTTGGGTCTTTGATATCCTGGAATGAGAGGAACAAAAGACCCCTCACAGCACCCCTTGATTCCTGAGAGTGAGTCCCACCTTCCAGTTCTTGGTAGTTAATCAAGAAAGACCTGAGGCTGAGGTTAGGATCCAGCTCTCACTTCCATACATCACTACAGGAAAACCATAGCTTTGACTATGCAGACTTTTGTTGGCAAGGTGATGTCTCTGCTTTTTAAGATGCTATCAAGGTTTGTCATCACTTTCATCCCAAGAAGCAGGTGTCTTAATTTCATGGCTGCTGTCACCACCTGCAGTGATCATAGAGCCCAAGAAAGTAAAATGTGTCACTGCTTCCATATATTCCCCTTCTATTTACCCGGAGGTGATGGGACCAGTGGCCATGATCTTAGTTTTTTTTTATGTTGAGCTTCAGACCGATTTTTGCACTCTCCTCTTTGACCCTCGTTACAAGGTTCTTTAATTCCTCCTCACTTTCTGCCATTAGAGTGGTATCATCTGCATATCGGAGGTTGTTGATATTTCTTCCTTCAATCTTAATTCTGGTTTGGGATTCCTCTAGTCCAGCCTTTCACATGATGTATTCTGCATATAAGTTAAATAAGCAGGGGGACACTATGCAGCCTTGTCGTACTCCTTTCCCAATTTTGAAGCAATCAGTTGTTCCATATCCAGTTCTAACTGTTGCTTCCTGTGCCACATATTGGTTTCTCAGGAGCTAGATAAGGTGGTCAGGCAATCCCATTTCTTTAAGGACTTGCCATAGTTTGCTGTGGTCCACACATTCAAAGGCTTTTGCATAATCACTGAAGCAGAAGTAGATGTTTTTCTGGAACTCTCTGGCTTTCTCCATAATCCAGCACATGTTAGCATATGTGTAACCACCCTTAAACTAATACTTTGTTGAAGCACCTTTTGATTTTATTACAGCATTCAGC